TTTATCTTTATTTTATAGTTTAAAAATCACTCATAGGTATATTTTGATTTATTACAAAAAAGGGCTACAAAATACGTAGGTAGCTACTATTTTTAATTATTTTTAGTGTATTATCAATTTAGAAATTTGTAAGTAAACAAATTTTAAATATTTTAAATTTGGGCTTGAACTAATTTTGACTATTTGTAATTTATATTAATATTAGTTTAAAGAAAATAATAGTTTTTGAAGTCGTAATACTGTATGCATTTGACCCCCCCCCTAAACTAATGGGATCGTAACGCGCGGCCTAAATTTTTTTACCAATGTTCCTAGCTAGATGTTTTTTAAAATAAATTAAGATTATTTTATTATTTTTTTACTTTTAGTTGCTTCCTAAACCGTCCTAACTAATGTAAAATAACCGAAAATTAGCTACAGAAGCACTAGCAAGCACTAATCGTCCTAAAACAACTATGGAAGCAGAATTGATTTGCAGTATTTGCCATGATTATTTCCTTGAAGCAACAACCATATCCTGTTCGCATACTTTTTGCAAAATTTGTATAACAGATTGGCAAAAACAGAGCAGGGTTTGTCCGATTTGCAGGCAACCCATTAAACACCTTATTAAGAGCCAGGCACTAAATGCTTTAGCTAATCTTGCCCGAGAACGCTACGAAAAAGAAGCTTTCAAATCCTTTGACAAATCTAAAGCGAAAAACGTCAGCAAAGCAACGAACACGACTGCTCCTTTCGAAGCCCCTAGTACTTCTGCTTCTGGTTCGGCATCTAGGTGAGTACCATTAGTTATAAATCTGATAAATTTGAAATTAAATGTAGTGTTATTCTCTTAAAATTTGAATAAACAGGATGTTATTTTATATAAAAAAAGTAAAAGATCAAAGAATACGCAGAAAGCTACCTATTGTAACTGATTATACTGAAAAAAAAAATACAACGTGTAATTATNATTACATGCAATAAAGGGCCATATTGATCTATATTAAATGCACAATGTATTTAAAAGTACTTAATTGGATAAGGATTAATGCTGTATTACTTAAAATCGCTTCGTAAACAAGACATTATTTCTAGTAAAAAGTAAAGTATAAAAAATGGTTATTGTGGGTTATCCCTGAGAGATAGACATATACCATCCAGGATTTTTTTGTAGATCTTTTTAAGGAGTACAATACTGTAGTACATTATTTTGATCTATCTCGTAGGGTTCAGACAGCGTTTGCAATGTAAGCGCAAAAAAATGTGTTTATTTACGACATCACATTAGAAACCTCTAAAATTATCAGTGTTTCTCTACTAAAATTAAAAAACTGCATCAAAATCCGTTGCGTAGTTTTAAAGATCTAAGCATACATAGGGACAGACAGCGGGGGAAATGCGTTGCATGATTTCGTTACATAGCAACTCGCATGAAACGAACTTACCGTGCGTAAAGAAGTTTCACTTCAAAAAGTTACCTAAGAATTTTGATTTTATCAGTCAATTAAATGTTGAAAAGAATACAATTCCGAACCAGTTCAGGTAAAAGACTGATTTTCTCAGTAACTCGTCAACGTTTCGTCGCCTGATTGGAGCTTCTTCAAGACAATTGTAAAGTTACTTTAAAAATAGTGACTTACAAACACCCTTCTTTGGCATACTATGAATAGTAGTTATAGATTCAAAAGCCAAAGTATTAGAATTAAACTATTAATATTTATGATACATATGTGTATTATTACGGTATTAACTACATACAGGGTGGCCCAAAAAGTATGCAATATGCTCACTGTGGTCAAACCGACCGAAAAATTTTTTTAATACCAGGGAGACAGTGGGAATCAATTAATAAAAAATTGAAATTACTTTTTGTGAAAGCAATATTAATAAAATAATACCTATATTCATGTAAAAAAATTAAATAACTGAAAATTTATTTAGATTATCCCGCTCTCCGCTTAAGGTGAAAGATTTGGTTAATGCTTCTAAAATAAATAACGATAATGGAAAAATGTTAGATTTGGCCACATTTGGCTCAAATCTTGCCGGAATCGCAGTTGATGTGGTGAACAAGAAACTTGCAGAAAAAATTCCCGTCGTTGGCCCTTTGACAAACTTCCTTGCCACACTTGGCAGGTACGTATACATATAATAAATCTATAGAGATGTATAAAATGTTTTTAAAGTATTTAAATATAAAATGCAAATACTTTTTTATTTGTTATTTCAAATGCAAAATACAAAATAGATTTTCCCAAAATACGCATTTTCAAAATACTTTTTTCAATTAAATACTTTTTTTGAAGTACCTCTTTCTACATTTATTTAAGTATAAAATTTGCAGGCATTTGCTCATTTTTTAAATATTGGAGTTTTTCTAGACTAATAGTGATGTTTGATCTATATCACTAGCTGCGAAGATTGATTCATATTTTTCTGTTTGAAGTGATTCGTAGTTCCTTGCTAAATAAGTAGTGATTTGACAGGTGCTGATATCAATTTGGAACTTCAAAATTCCATGGACCATGAAATTGAACCCGGAAAACAATATCGATTCAATATTTTAGATTATCCATTTCCTAGTTTAGATTTTTTTTTGGGTTCTCTTCAGTTAAAGAATTAGAAATGTCTCTTTATCCTCTTTTTAACCATCTAATGCCTTCAATAGCCAATGCGAGCAATTTTGCATTTTACAAATACAAAATACGTTTGGAAAAATATTTTAAATAATATACAAAATGCTTTTCTCAAAAGAGTATTTAAATGCAAGATAAAAATAGGTATTTTTTATTTTGTTTTTTGCATTTTAAATGCAAGTGTTTCAAATAAATCACATCTCTGTAAATCTAGTATACAAGATGACAAAAAACGGCAAGTGATTTATTTTTAAGAGAAGGAAATCTAAAATGGCGTCAAAAGTATGACCACCATTTTGATATTAAGGTTTTGCTAAATATCTCATGAAGAACGCACCTCTCCATAAAGATGTTTACATTTTTTTTAATAGAGAATGGAATTAATTTTCTTAATTAATTAACTTTCCTATCATCATCATCATAGGGTCGTCAGTCCTAAGACTGGTTGGACACGTACCTCCACTTTTTCCTATCCTGAGCTAAACTTCGCATTTCCCTAAAACTAGAACAGCCCACATCCTTAATTATTTGCGAACAGTAATCTAATCTAGGTCTACCTCTACCCCTTCTAACTCCTGTTTCTGCCACTAATATGTCTCTGACTAGACCTTCATGCCTGAGAAGGTGTCCTACCAACCTATCTGGCCTATTTTTTATTGACTTCCATAGAGTCCTCTGTTCTCCTATTCTTTCTAATACCTCTTCATTTCTAACCTTTTCTACTCACGTTATTCTCATCATCCGCCTATAACACCACGTTTCGAAGGCCTCTAACCTTTCCTTTTCCGCCGCGCGCACTGTCAATGTTTCGCACCCGTACAACGCCGTGCTCCAAACATCCACCCTCAACAACCTCCTTCGAATTTCTAATTTAATCGTTCGCGAGCATAGAAGTGACTTCTTTTGATTAAAGGCGACACGACCCTGCGCTATCCTCTGCTTTATATCCCTACTACTCCTTCCGTCCTGACTTCCTAGATATCTAAAATCAGCCACTTCTTCTAATTTTTCGTCTCCTATCTTTATATTCGCTCTTTCCCTACTTTTTCTTCCCTTGCATACCAGTATTTTAGTTTTACTTTTATTTATTTTCATACAGTACTGAT